AAACTTTAGGCAGTGGGATAGCTTGCAAAGACCAAAGAGTTCTTGGATCATTTTTATTGTATGTTGGGAGTAGAAAAATATTATTGTTATTCATAATAGCATTTGCACCATAAGGATTTGTAGAAAAATTATTATTAATAGAAACAGATCCATTTGGTAATATTGATGAAACCAAAGGTATTTGAAAGTTATATTCATCATAAGGATAAATCATATGAGAATAATGAATAGCATCAGTAGCATGTAATATGTAACCTCCATATGACATTGATTTTACCACCCAACCTTTTAAGGGTATACTAGTTACATTAGGAAGGTCAGATAATGTATCTATTTTTAATACAGATCCTGACGTTAGAAAGTAAATTTTTACATAGTGTGTTGTACTGTTATTTACTGTGCTATTATTGGTAGAGTTGATAGATATATCGTTATTGGTAATAGATAATGTGCAAACTTGACCCAAGCCAACAGCTACTAAGTCACAATGAATTCCATTAAAAGTTACATTTATATGTAACTCATAGAGAAGAACCGTTCTATCTGGAACTGTTTTGTTATAGGATATGAAATTAGCATATACCGTGCCACGTATGGCTAACGTTTGGTTGGTATTAACTTCTTCGGTAGAGTTAGCATAGAATAAAGCATAACCACCATCAATAGTAGATATTGATACAAGTTGAAAGCTTTTAAGTTTAACTAGAGGATTAGTAAATTGACTAAGTGGAATACTATCGTTTTGCAATAATGATATCTGACCATAATTATCACTATACAATTATAATGAGTAATTATTAGCATTATTATCATAAATAATTAAAATAACAACAGTAATGATATTAAGAAGATTAAATTATATTACATTGAATATTGCTGCCATTGATACCACGAAGGATTCAAGGAGTCATCTTTTCTTACTAAATCTAGTCTAAAAAATCCCAATTTCCGATTTATGTTTAACTCAATTGCACTTTGCGGATTCCAGTGACTGGAATTAGTAGTTTTATTAACAAAAGATGGGCCAAAATATATGGTACTAAAATATGAAATAATAACGATAGATCGATATTAGTAATCTTTAAAAAATAAATACGAGTTAATCACAATCACACCTTCGAATGATACTATTCCAATCGATTACAGCTCCCCACTCTTCATAAGTATTAGGATCAGAAGAATTTGTAGCATTCACGTATGTTACTAGAATCAAGGGTTTTTGTAAAGCATATAATTTAATAGGAAACACTATATCTCCGGTAACTTTACGTAATACACAATAATTTGGAGTAATTAAGTTTAAATCAAGATTAATTTCATTAACATTTCCATTTAATTCAATAACTCTTATACGTAATATCTGTTCTAAACCAAAAGTTTCAGTAGGCAGTGCACCTAAATTCACTGAACAATTTTGGTTTATTTTTGGATCACGTCGTGTTATATGGACAAGAGTTGTTCCATCATCATAAGTTTGAAGGTTTTGTACAAAAAGAGGATTTCCAGTATCTATTATACTTTCGTTGTAGACAAAATTGGTAAGCTGTGATCTCGTTGATATTATGAATGCACAAATGGATAATAAAAATAGATATGGTGTTATAAGGTTATAAGAAAGACTAAATAATTTCATCGTGAATTCTATTATATCATACAAAAAAGATTAGATGTTAGAAAAAAAAAAGAATTAACATAAATATACTTTGGTTCTACTTGTATGAATTTTTATCAAATTACTATACGTATACTGTATTTACAACGTAATGCGCACCGTAAAAATATTTCAAGGACCAATAGATATTTATTAACCCCAAAATGTTAGGACCTTAAAATATTCTATGTACATACGTACGTACGTACGTACGTATGTACGTACAATATTCAGTGTTGGCGTGCATGCCAGCAAAAGAAGGTATTCAGTAAAGTAGTACTGCACGCCAGTAATTACAGATTAGGACGGACCTACGAAAATTATACTAAATTTTAATGAGACGTACAGTTAATGTATACTTGTAAAATTCAATTTTTATAAGTAATCATTTTTAATATTTAAGGTTAGGGTGAGCTCTAGTATTGTCCCTTTTCACGTTGGGGTTAGTAGTAAAGGTAACAAACCGTACGTATTACAGGGACCTGCGGAATCTGTGATATAATTTAACAAATTATGTTTTTGATATCAATAAATTATGTGATTTACTGCTGATTAACAATAAAAGCATATCGGCTGATTTTTGAAATTTATAAGTAGAATGTATTTTTTAAAAAATTAAAGCTAAATAACTTCTGATCTACTAATCCGTTTTAAATGATTTTGCTACTAAAATGTTCGTCTCAAAGGAAGTTATTTAGCTTTGAATTTTTTAAAAATACATTCTACTTATAAATTTCAAAAATCAGCCGATATGGTACGAATTCGTATAAAATTTAAAATTTACCTAATAAAAAAACTTCATTTTTTTGAAAAAAAAGTTGCACTAAAACAAAAATTTTGTTTTTTATGCACAAATATATAGCCTATAATATTTTATTTCTTTGAACTATTGAAATATATAATAATTTTTTATGAAAAATACATTTTCTATAATCGAAGCAAATCGCAGTAAATCACATAATTTTTGCGATTTGCTTCAATCACAGCAAATCACAGAATTTACACGTCCCTGACGTATGTCTGTCCTAATTTGCGTTTCCGTACCGTCTACTTTACTATATACAGCAAAAGATGAATATTCAAATTAAATATGACGAATTAAGTAAACTCTTCTTGATAAAAGATACAACCATTCCTGACAATGTATAACATAACATTGAAAACAGTTATTCCTTTAAATTATTGACTTTAATAAAAAAATTTGCCGTTAGAGATGTGATTATTTAGAATGGTACTACTACTGTATGAATACACGTTATTTTAAAATTATTCTATATATATAATGCCTAGGAATGAACGGAACAATGGTAATTTGCTAATTATGCAAAAAAATAATAATAAAAAATCCAGGGTTTTTAACGGATGTGAAAACCAGAATTAAATTATCACCTAAACAAATTTTAACAAACACTTTATTCCAAATAAAGTACCTCTAAAACATTTATATAGTTATTATTATTTGTTTTTTCTTTGTTTATTTTATTATTTGTTTCTTTTATTGTCGATTATTATTTGTACACAAATATATAAAACATGGATACTTATTACAATACACAAGATTTTGTATTTATAATCTATACTTAATGTGACGGCTGATGCTGAAGTTTGGCTGATGTTGAAGCTAAAAAATCTGATTGGTTAGGGTTAGGGTGATCTGCAAAATTTAGCCAATCAGATTTTTTAGCTTCAACATCAGCCAAACTCCGTAACACTTAATATTAACCTTAAACTCTAAAGTTTATTGAGTAATTTTTGTTTAAAATATAACCAATCAGATATAGTAACATAATAAAATGAATAAGTACGCATGAAATAAAATATTATTAAAATTCTAAAAGATAAATCGACCAGGAAATTTAAAGAGATGGGTGTCATGGCTTCTGGAGAATAAGCATAAGCAGTTTAACACTTTTCATAAATTGTTTAATGTAGATGAAGTCTCTCTCAGGGTACCGTATCACACAGGGCATAGATTTTGTAGCTAGTACGTACGTATAATCATTATTGAAATCAATTATCACAGTAATAAAATAATTTTCTAAAACGGTTAATTAAATTAATAGTACAGTACGCTCTTCTGTTACTGTAGTAGTTTAAGTAATGGATTTGGAATTTCATAGTATTCTAGCGTGCGTGAGTTAGGGTTAGGGTTAGAGTAAAGGCTAGGGGTAGGGCTAAGGTGTAGGTTTCTATAAAATAAAATCTACCCTAAAAATATAACTTAAAAATATATTATACCGATAAGAATTAAATTTGATCACAAAGAACATTAGAATTGTGTTTAAATGCAAGTACATGTGAAAAATTAGCAATACGTACTGCTGTACTGTATGTGATGGTCATGAACACATCGACGAACCAGATATTGGATCGTATACGTGCAGATTTGTAGATAACCTTAAATTCCAATGCTTTCTTGCACCATAATTGATTGTTACTAACTCCGGGTATAGATCATAAACTATGTTTAATAAAAACACAATTTTTGCGCCATTCGAACCTTTTTTGCAGGACATAATAAGAGCTAAGACGAAGTCATCGAAAATCATTTATTAATTTTGGTCATACTTTTGTAGCCATATTTAATTTTAAACCATGATCCAATCTTTAAGATAATCAAAAACCAATAGCATATTCATTATTTATTCATGTAAACCTACGCCCTAGGATTCTCATATTGTTTTGTATGACCAAAAGCAATAAGTCTCTATTTGGAATTATTACCAATTAGTATCAAATTCTAAAATTAATTCAAGAACTTTTACGTACGTACGTACGTACCACAATCACCTTGCAAAATATAAAAACATATTTAACACAAATACTGTCCATAAATATTTTATTTAAATCGATAAGTTAGGAAACACTCAATATTTTGACTTATTTATACTTTGTCTATAGAAAGATCGTGGTTTTTTTTTAGATTTCTTGCACCTCACGTACGTACGTAAATAAGTAAAAAGAACGTTGATCTTCGATTTTTTCTATTACTGATAGTATAAATTTTTTCTTTGTTCAAACTCGATTTCGGAATTATCGCTTTTTCTTCATAACGATATTTCCATAACAATAATACTACAATGAAAATAAATTTTTTATATAAACTGAATCTTCTCCCTCTAACTTTTCCTCATCAAAATTTATTTTGATATTAATCAACGTTTAAGAACCGTCACTGAAAGCTCTCAAAAAAAGATGAATAATAAAATTATAAATTTTGTTCTAATGTTAATTTTCCTCTTTGTTACTATCAAAGAGTCAACCGCTAATCCTTTGCTTAAACGTGGTGCAGAGAAAAAATGTTACGATTACGTCTTTGCGACATCAACATTTTGCGATGGTAAATTTAGCGGTATTATAAGTT